GCCCCCGCCACCTACCCGCACCATCCGGGGGCCGCCGTCGCGCTGCCGGGCGAGCGGGGCCGGAGCCTTCCTCCTCCTCCTCCTCCTCCTTCTCTCCCTCCTCCTCCTCCTCCCTCCCCGCCCCCGCACCGGGAGCGTCCCCGCCGCAACGCCGCCGGTGCCCCGGGCGAGGGGAGGAGGCAGAGGAGGAGGAGGAGGAGGAGGCGGGGGCGGCGGCGATGGGGCCGGGGCGCTGCGGGCTGCGAGGAGGAGCCGTGCCCGGCCGGAGTGGGGCTGCGCCGGGGGGGCGCGGGGGGGATGCCCGCGCTGCTCTGCCGTAGGCGCCGCCCGCCCGCCCCGCTCCCGGGCTTTATTTTATTTTTTTAATTTTTTTTTTTTTAATTTTTTGAAAAAAAAATTTTTTTTTTTGCTTGCCTTCAAAAAATACCCATCGCACCCCCCCGCCACCTCCCAGCCCCGCCACCCCCGGAGCGCATGAGGCCGGGCCGGGCGCGGGCCCCGCGCTCCCGCCGCCCGTCACCACCGCCCCGCGCCCCCCGCCCCGCAGCCCGGCCCCCCGACCGGAGCATGGCCCCCGGCAGCGCGACGGAGCCGGAGCGAGGGTGACCGCCCGCGGGGGACACTGTGCTGCTGCCGCTGGCCTCAGAGGACTTTTATTATAATTACCATCATTGTTATTATTATTATTACTAGGTTTTTAATTTTTTAATTCTTTCGCGGGGCAGCGGTTTTTTCCTCCTCCTTCGGCGCGGTGGAAAACACACGTTTYAGACCAAAATCCCAAACCAGCCCATCCATCCTCTTTGCTTTGCGCTTCGCAGCAACTTGGAGCCCGTTAATTGCACTTGGCGATGGTAGGTCCCATGACACTTTCGTTTTCTCTTCTACTTCCCCCCTCTCCCCTTCACCCCCCGCCGTGTGCGTGTGTTTGCGGGTGCCCCCACGAGCAAAAGTTGCTGCCGGGGAGGGGGCGGCGGGGCGAGTTTAATACGGTGTCGGGGCGGGGGGGCGCGGGGCGGCGGGGGCGGGCGGGGGGAAGCTGCCGCCGTCTCTCCTCCCCCTGCCCACCCGCCCCGCGGTACCGGGGGGCGGAGGCGGCGGCGGGAGCCGCCCGGCGGGGAGGTCGCGGCGCGGCGCGGGGGGAGCCTCCGCAGCCCGCGGAGGGCTGGATGGAGCTGAAAATGGCCGCTAAAAAAAGGGGCGGAGAGGCCGCCAGCCGCACCGACTTGAACTTGGAAGTGACGCCCGGGAGGGTCGCGCTCAAGTCCGCGCTGTGCGGACGTACCGGGGAGGGAGGGGGGAATCACAACCGTCCTCCGTGTGAGAAGAAAAACATCCCCCCGGCCCCGCCGTGCAGGGCTTCTCCCGCTTCTCCGCCCGCCAGGCCACGGGGGGAGCGCGGCGGCGCGGCCCGGGAGGATGCGGGATGCGGGGAGCGAGCCCGCCCGGCCAAGTTTGCGCGGAGCCGCCGCATCCCGCGGGGACGGGGATGTCCCTGCGGGAGGAGTGTGCGGGGTGAACCCCAACMCCGGGCGGGGATCGGCCGCGGGGGCCGGCAGAAGTTGAGAGTGAAAATCAGTTGTGCGGGGAGAGGCGCTGCGGGGGCTCCTTCCCGCAGAAAAGGAAAAAAAAAAAAAAACGGTTTTCTTCTTTTTTGGGGGGAGCGAGGCAGCGCTGGAGCCGCGGGCCCCGCGCCGGGAGCGGCCGCGCTGAGGGGTCAGGTCCCTGCAGGAAGCGGTGACCCCCGRTGCGGGAGGGGAGCGGGGCGCGGCCCCCCCAGCCCGGGAGGTGCCCGGGGATCCCCTTTGTGTTCCGCCCGTGGCGCTCCCCGCGCGCTCTCTAATTAGCGTCATTAGCGCCCGCGATCGGCCGGGGCTGSTGGGGTGCGGAGTGAGAACTTGCGGTTCGGAGTTTGCCGGGCGCAGGCTCCGCTTTTTTAATCTCCTTCTGTCTTTATGCGGGGGGGTTGCGGGGTCCCCGGGGCGAGGGGGGGGCGTGGGGCTGCCCGTGGCGCTCCCCCCGCACCGTGGCACCGCGATGCTGCCGGTGGTTGAATAACGCGGAGGGGGGGCGGAATAAGCGTCTCCGCGGGATGAGCGGGATGCGGCGGGGCGGCCCCCCCGAACCGGGGCTACGTGCGGGGGGAACACCACCCCCACCCCCCCGCGCCGGGGCCGCTGCCCAGAAGTTGCACATGAATCTGCAAGGTTTTTTCTCTCGTTGGATGGGCTCCGTTTAGTAAAAAAAAA